CTCAATGAATGGACTAGTAACGCAGCTCAATGAATGGACTAGTAACGCACCTCAATGAATGGACTAGTAACGCACCTCAATGAATGGACTAGTAACGCACCTCAATGAATGGACTAGTAACGCAACTCAATGAATGGACCAGTAATGCACCTCAATGAATGACCTAGTAACGCACCTCAATGAATGGACTAGTAACGCACCTCAATGAATGGACTAGAGAGGAGGGGACGTTCACCCACTAGTAACGCACCTCAATGAATGGCCTAGTAACGCACCTCAATTAATGGACTAGTAACGCACCTCAATGAATGGACTAGTAATGCAGCTCAATGAATGGACTAGTAACGCACCTCAATGAATGGACTAGTAACGCACCTCAATGAATGGACTAGTAAGATGGGCTACCTCACACCTTTATGTTACAGCATGCATGATACTGCGCATGTCAGTGCATTTGTGGCGCCTCTCATTACCAGACCTGCGTTGCAGCACACCATAACGCACGATACCGCTCTCCCATGCATTGTGGTGCACTGCGTCAGAAAAAAAGAGGTCAGGTCTGGTTTTTGGTGCAATGGCCGCCCATTCAAAACGAACAGGCTTCCTTAACCCAACACACATTACCACACGGCATAGCGCGCACTAATGTGCATGTGGTAACGCACAGCGGCACAACCACAAAGTTGCGACGGGTCCCTAAATGTAGTCCAATCCTCCCCTAATCTTCAGTCAGTGGGGAACTGTTATATGATATGAGATATTCTGCACACATGCATGGCTGGTCCCCTTCTGTATCTGTCAGTGCTGGGGACATGTAAGTATGCGTGCGTCCCCTAAACAAAGACGCAGATTATCTCCCCCTGTGAGTCACAAACATTACTCATTGTTACAGCCAATGCCGCTCGCCCATCATCAATGAGCCACATCATCCCTTACAAGGAGCCCTTGTCCCTTCCTCCATACAGTCATCTGGATGGGAGATGATGACGTCTTAAAGAGCAACTGCAGTCTGTTATCACTACGTACCGTCTCTTTAAGAAAGGCGCAGCGAAGGCCATTCACTCCGAGCCCGCTGCGTGCGTTACCCCAGCACGTCACCACATCGCATATGCTGAGGTGTTGTTCATATTCTGTGGTGTACCATTTAAGATTCATTTTGGATTGCGCCCCCCTTTAGGTCCCTTGCGGTTTGTAAGGACGGCCCGTTGCAATGGACTGGGCTGCTTTAACGCAACGCACGTGAAGGCACCGCTGTACATGAGCCCTTGCAGCGGCGAATCGCAAAGGCGTATTATTTTTGCGGGGAATTTTATTGTGCAACGTGGATCTTGTGTAACAAAGTATCAGATTCCGGGATCTTCCTTTCAGTTCCACTACCAGCCAGTGTCAAGAATCAAAACGACCAGCAAGCGTGCGTCAGTGTTTTGCAGTCAATAAATGTAAGGCGCGGTGCAGACCTGAGTGATCCGGGATCGTGCGTCCCGGGATGGCGCAGTCGTGCACAATTGCAGGCAGCGAGTGCCGCGCTGCCCCATTGATTTCAATGGGGTGACATCCGTGCAGCAAGCGCAAGAAGAAAGGTCGATGTCAGGGGCGTCCCGAGGCCGGGTGTCACCCACGCGTGCGCGCCCATCTGATTGGTGCCTGCCGGCGGCCATCTTGGTGATGGACGCCGGCAGAGAGAGGAGGGGACGTTCACCCGGTGGGATGAGGTATGCCGCCGGGTCCCCTCCTCTCTCCTGACACCGTCGGCCTCTCGGTCCATGACCCAGTGCCCGACTTTTCATAGGGGGTGACATCAAATGACTGTCAGTCATTTTGGTGTCACCCCTGCAATGGTGTCACCCGGGTGCGGGCCGCACCCCCCTTGTGACGCCACTGGTACATGTACCTATTTTTTTGCAATACACGACGCACGGGCGGAATCGTGGAGGGAAACCGCGCGACCTGCCCGGCGAGACTGGGGTGCCACTGGAAAATAATGGCACCCGCAGCACGATCGTCGGTGACGGGCGACCTCGTGACCGCACGGCAATCCGTGCGGTATCATGCACAATGTAGAATCAACTGGTCTCCTAAGCACTGGCCCTGTTATCCTGTATTAGGGAGGCTCCTTTCCTTTTCAGGGTCCCATGGAGCCACCCTTGTGTGTGCTAGTAAGCTGTGTGTGTCTCCTTTCTCTTGCAGGGCCCTATGGAGCCACCCTTGTGTGTGCTAGTAAGCTGCGTGTCTCCTTTCTCTTAAAGGGTCCTATGGAGTCACCCTTGTGTGTGCTAATAAGCTGTGTGAGGCTCCTTTCCTTTTCAGGGTCCTATGGAGTCACCATTGTGTGTGCTAGTAAGCTGTGTGTGTCTCCTTTCTCTTACAGGCCCCTATGGAGTCACCATTGTGTGTGCTAGTAAGCTGTGCGTGTCTCCTTTCTCTTGCAGGGCCCTATGGAGCCACCCTTGGGTGTGCTAATAAGCTGTGTGTGTCTCCTTTCTCTTGCAGGGCCCTATGGAGCCACCCTTGTGTGTGCTAATAAGCTGTGTGAGGCTCCTTTCCTTTTCAGGGTCCTATGGAGCCACCCTTGTGTGTGCTAATAAGCTGTGTGAGGCTCCTTTCCTTTTCAGGGTCCTATGGAGCCACCCTTGTGTGTGCTAATAAGCTGTGTGAGGCTCCTTTCCTTTTCAGGGTCCTATGGAGCCACCCTTGTGTGTGCTAATAAGCTGTGTGTGTCTCTACAAATGCAAACAGAGCAAGGCAAGACACTCCCCTGCTTCTTTCTCATCCCACCTCCCTTCTCCAAGCTAGTAGATAGACGGATGCTGGAGTCTGCTTGGCCCCTTGTGATCTTGTACTGGACAGGAAGTTCAGGGAAGCCGAGCAGAGAGTTGGAGCTGTCCGGAAACACGATGACTGTAATTGTTTGGACGATGCATATTTCTTTGATCTGGATTCATTATTGAAAACACAATTGCGAGTTTAATATAATAACAGACCGCAAGGGAGCGAATAGGAAACGTTCATTGTCGGGGATTGCATACACTTGTATTTATAGAGCAGTAAATCTGACATTCACCAAATATATTTGCTGCGGGTGAATCTTCCTGCTACATATGCTTTGATTGAATCACCAGGCAGTGAAAGTTTAGTACAAATCACATTCGCTGCTTTATAAATATGCCCCTAAGGAGGGGCTTCACTAGGGGGGTGCGGCCCGCATCCGGGTGACACCATTGGAGGGGGTGACACCAAGAGTCATTTTGGTGTCCCCCCCCTGAAAAGTCGTTCACCCGGTCATGGACTAAGAGCCCGTCAGCTGCACGAGAGGGGAGGGGACCTGGTGGGATAAGAGGAACGTCCCCTCCTCTCTCTGCCGCCGCCCATCACCATGATAGCCACCAGCAGGTAACAGTGCGTGACGTCATCACGCGCATGAGCGATGACGTCGCGACGGGGGCGTCACCCGGTGGCTGCTCCAGGTGACACCACGCCTCAGGACGCCCCTGCCCCTAAGGGTGTGAATAAGGTTCAGAAAGTTACAGAAGAACTCCCGGCAGAAACAAAATGAACCCTTGCAGTGGGACTACGAGTGGCTGGTCCCGCAGCCTCTCGCCCCCGGACTCCGGCAATGGAATGCTCCTCTAATACACTGTGTTATGTGTGATGACATCACGGGTCCTTAGACCGCCGGAGCCCGGGGGGGGGGGAGGAGAGGCTGCGGGGACTGCACTAGCAGCCAGGTGGGATTGAAAATTGGGTGGGTACATCTGTACATCTTCACCAAAAAGAGCACTTAACCCTTGCAGTGTTGAGGGGGGGAGCCCCATGGGGAGGGGCCCACCAGCAAGGGTTAGTTTGTAATTTAGAATGTAACTGTAAAGTTGATTGTACAAAGATGGTGCGGTCACATGTAACGTGTACGGTGACCCTAAGACCGGAAATCATTCGCTGGATTGCGCTTGTTCCCAGGTGGAAACATTCAATGTTATCTCTATATATAGACAGCTTATATACCCCACAATATCTGAGATAGGAACCCCTCCAGGCCAGTAGTAGCCCCGAGCCTCCATGGACCCAGTGTGGGCTCAACAATGGCCTGCTTGTGGTGGGGGCCCGGGGCTTGGTCCACTGGGACAATCTCAGAGCTCTGTGGGCTATTTGTCCTTTGTTCCACGCGGAGGGTGGTATCACTTGGTACTGTTAGTGTGTGCACCAGGAATGACACACACAGCATCGCCGCATTCATCCTGAGAGGAGATGACAAGCCTTCCTGCCTGAGCTCTGGTGAGTGTTATCATAAAAGGAAAATCTTGGGGGAGATTTATATATATTTTTTATTTATGTTTTTCGACATGCCGGTGACCGATGTAAATGTGTATAGTGGTGCCGGGGGGTACGGGGGTGCTGCAGAGCGAAAATAAAGAGGAATTATTATCTGTGCAGATTTGGAGAGCTAGAGATATGAAATCATGTTTTTTATCAGTATATTCATGAAAGATTTATTTATTTATTATTATTTACCTATTTATTTTTTCTAGATTTTTTTTTTATTGAGTGGATGTAATTGCCTAAAAGCAGTTCTGTCCTGTGTGACATGTAAAGAAAGATCTCGGTGTTGTAAACAATGTAGAATTTACTTATAGATTTTAGCTTCCTGTTGCCGTTAGTATCAGCGGTGGAATATCATTGTGCGTTCTGTTTATATATCCGGCTCTGTATGGAAGGAGGTGGAAGTTTTGCACATAATTATTTCTATGACTTCCATTTATTATCACTTAATAAGATTATTTGTGATGGTGACGGGCCGGACAGACAAATGTCACTTCTCTGATCTGTGACCTGACGTGTGTCCTTGTGCTGTTTTGTATGTGAGAGACTACCTGAGACGCTTAGAACTTTGCCTGACTTTCTTGCCATTGCTGTTTAAAGGCTTGAAGGCATCTTCAGTAACAGGAGGAAAACACGGTAACCCATAGTAACCAATCAGAATTCCCTTTGCTGAACCCAGAAATGCATAGCACAGATTTTGATTGGTTTGCTACTACACTTTGTGCTGAGCGGCTTTACAAAAATCTGCCCTTAGTGCCCAATGGGCTTGCAGAAAGTGCCCTTGTTACCCTTCGTGCCCAATGGGCTTGCAAAAATTTGCCCTCAGTGCCTAATGACTTGCATTGAAGGGTCTGAGTTGCCCTTAGTGCCCAATGGGCTTTGTATAAAGTGTTTAAGTTGCTCTTATTGCCCAGTTAGCTTGCAAAGTGTCCCAGGTGTACTTAGTGCCCAATGGGCTTGCAAAAAAGTGTCCAAGTTGCCTATGATGCCCAATGGGTTTGCAGAAATGTGCCCTTGTTGGCCTTGGTTATCAATTGGCTTGCATAAAAGTTTATTAGTTACCCTTAGTGCCCAATAGGCTTGCAAAACAAGTGTCCTTGTTGCCTTTAGTGCCCAGTGGGCTCACATAAATGTCCATGTTGCCTTTAGTGCCCAGTGGGCTCACATAAAAGTGTCCTTGTTGGCCTTAGTGCCCAATGGGCTCACATAAAAGTGTCCTTGTTACCCTTAGTGCCCAATGGGCTCACATAAAAGTGTCCTTGTTACCCTTAGTGCCCAATGGGCTCACATAAAAGTGTCCTTGTTACCCTTAGTGCCCAATGGGCTCACATAAAAGTGTCCTTGTTACCCTTAGTGCCCAATGGGCTCACATAAAAGTGTCCTTGTTACCCTTAGTGCCCAATGGGCTCACATAAGTGTCCTTGTTGCCTTTAGTGCCCAGTGGGCTCACATAAAGGTGTCCTTGTTACCCTTAGTGCCCAGTGGGCTCACATAAAAGTGTCCTTGTTGGCCTTAGTGCCCAGTGGGCTCACATAAAAGTGTCCTTGTTGCCTTTAGTGCACAGTGGGCTAACATAAAAGTGTCCTTGTTACCCTTAGTGCCCAATGGACTTAAAAAAATGTGCCCTCAGTGCATAATGGGCTTTCATTAAAGGGTCTGAGTTTCCCTTAGTGCCCAATGGGCCTGTATACAAGTGTCTGAGTTGCTCTTATTGCCCAGCTGGCTTGCAAAGTGTCCCAGGTGTACTTGGTGCCCACTGGTTTTGCAGAAATGTGCCCTTGTTGCCCTTGGTTACCAATTAGCTTGCATAAAAGTTTTTGAGTTGCCCATAGTGCCCAAAAAGCTTGCACAAAAGTGTCCTTGTTACCCTTAGCGCTCCGTGGGCTTGCCATGTGTCCCAGTTGCTCCTATTGCCCAATGGGCTTGGAAAAAAAGTGTCATAGTTGCCCTTAGAGCCCCTGTGGGTTTCCAAATATATGTCCTTGTTGCCCTCAGTGCCCAGCGGGCTTGCATAAGAGTGAATTTCTCACAATGACCAGTGTTGTCATTTTCATCTTCCAGGTCCGG